AGGAAAGAACTTGATTCTAGTTTTTTCTTTGTGTAAGAACAGTTGTCCAGCACGTCTTACCAAGTGGCCAGCATTGCTTTTCTGATCTGCAGCACTTCTTTGATATGCCAGGTTTTGCATACTTGCTGGGTCTGTTTCTGGGCTATTCTACCCCTCATCAATTCCACATTTTCTTAATTACAATAACCTTATAATAAATCATGATAGGGGAAATTTCCTCACCTTCTACTTCTTTAAATTCCTCTTGGATGACTTATATAAACATTTTAGCAACAGTTTATCAACTTCCTTMAAAAATAGGCTTGGATTCTTTTTCCATATTGAATATACAGACTGGTATAATTGACATCTTCATGACACTAAGTCTTCCCATTCAAGAATATGATTTATCTTTCCATCTGTGTAGATATTTTTTATGTCTTTCAAGAAAGGGCTGTAATATTGGCTCTGCCTTATGTATCTTTTATTAAATTGATGCCAAGGTATCCTACATATGTTGCTGCTACTATAAATGGAAGCTTTCTCCACCAAAGGATATTTTCAATTTATCTGCTAGTATTAAGAAAGCAATAGATTTTTTTGTATGTTGCTCTTCCATCTAGCAAAGCTTGCTCAATTCTTTTATTAATAATGTCTTTTAAGTCTTATGGGTTTTCTGCATGTGGGTAATCAACGCATGATGATTGATGAGAGGTTCTTTCTTTCCATCTTTATGTTCTTTCATCTCACGTCCTGATGTCCTATCTCACTGGMTGGAATCTCTTATTCTCCAGTGAGTAGAGCCACATCCCTGAGCATCCTTATGTTATTCCTGTTTTTAACAAATACCTTTCCAAGGAAACATACTTTTATAATTTACAGTCCTATTTGTATCTKTTTGTGTTGGTCTTTGTTATGGTTTGAATCTAAAATGTCCCCCAAAGGCCATGTACTAAAGGCTTGTTTGTCTGCCTGTGGTGGTACTGGGAGGTGACAGGAGCTTCAGGAGGTAGGGCCTGGTTGGAGAAGTAGGTCATAGGAGCATGTCCTTGAAGGGCATATCTTGTCCCTTTCCCCTTTCTCTATCTCTGCCTCCTCTCTGCCATGAGGTCAGCAGCTTTGCTCTACCACACCCTCCCCACACTGAGGGCCCATAAGCAACAGTGCACAGTGGCCAAGGACCCAAACCTCTGAGTTTGTGAGCAGAAATAAATCTTTCCTCTACTGAGTTGATTTTTCTCAGGTATTATGTCCCATTGATGGGAACCTAACAATTTTGGTATTTTTATCTGTCTAAGTAAGTTCCTGTCTGTTTTCTAGTTTGATTTGAGGGTTGAATTTTAACAAATGCTTTTTCCCATCTGTTGACATGATCATATAATTCTTATTGAAGCAGCTAATGCAATAAACTCATAGATGGTCTAAGATTAAACATCTTGCAGTCTCAGAATAAACTCAACTTAGTGATGATGTATTTTATGCATACATTTCTGGATTTGTTGGATATTCTTTATTTAGTATCAATATCTATGTTTTTAAATGAGATCACCTCACTATCCCTCTATAATAATGTCCATTTTCTTTTTGGTATTATAATTATATTAATTATATCATAATTATTAAGGCTGGGGATATAACTCAGTTGATAGAGTGCTTGCCTCACATGCACAAGGCCCTGGGTTCAATCCCCATCACCAAAAAAAAAAAAAAAAAAAAGTACTAAGACATATGAGATGAATTTAGCACATTCCTGCACATTCTCTTATCAGAAGCACTTAGAATAAGATGGGGATTATGTGTCCCTTGCATATTTGGTAGAAATTGCTTATCAAACTGTCAGGCACTATATACTTTATTACAACAACTTCTAAATTATGTGGTTGAAGTTTCTGGGTCCAATAGCCACAGATGAATTCACCAATTCTGTTAACTTCTCCCTCCATGATCAGCGATTTGTTAATTTCTTTTATAATTCTGTCAATTTCTGGTACATATTTTCTGAAATGTTACTAGATACTTCCGAGGCATCTTCCTGATGAAGTGTTTTGTTAACATAATTTGATTTAATTATCCTTTGAGAAAACTATCCTTGTTTTCAATTGTGCCACTACCCTAGGTGTCTGTTTTTTTTTTTTTTTGTTATTGTTGTTAATATTTATTTTTTTTTAGTTATCGGCGGACACAACATCTTTGTATGTGGTGCTGAGGATCAAACCCGGGCCAAGCGTGCCAGGAGAGCGCGCTACCGCTTGAGCCACATCCCAGCCCCTAGGTGTCTGTTTTAACTGATAGTAACACAGCTGTACTGGTGTTTTGAACAGTGTTGAGAGCCACAGCCGAAGGGGCCCCAGCAAACTTCCAGCTGCCAGCTGATTGGCTCCTCTGCAGTGATGCTCATTGGGCTGTTTCTCTGCCCTTTCAGACCATGGAGCTGCTCATTGGGGGACTTTTTGGCTCCGCCCACGTGACCCAGCCAATCAGCCTCAAGAGCAGGAGGAGTGTGGGGGGGTGTTTGAGAGGCTTGTGGAAAGCCAGTGGTGGCAGTTGGACTCTGAGGGAATTGCTGAAGAGCTCCTGTGGTGTAGAGTGTGTTCTAAAAATAAAGTTCATGTCCYGCTTGATAMATGGCTCCTGAATTGTGCCCAGCCAGACTGCGGCAGAACAGCATTTGCCTCATAGGTTGCCTTCATTCCTTTCCCTTTTAATTTTTGTTTTAACTTTCAACATTTCTTTTATGTCTTAGATGTTGGTCTCTATTAGAAGTGACAGTGACATATAATTGAATTTTCAAAATATTCCGATCTGATGACCTTTGTCTCTTAAGGAAAAAAAATGTTTCATTTGTGGTGATTATCGTTCTATTTGGACTTGTTTTTAGCCACATCCTATTGTGCTTTTTGTGGATCTTGATTTTTCTGAGCCTTTCTTTCCTCTTATGTTCTATTAAATAGATCAAAGAGGATTGGGGTTGTTTTTGATTATCTCTATTCTTTGTAKTTGGACATCTATTTCTTTTTGGGTTTGGAGGTTGTCCTAAAAATTACAAAAAACAGTCTTGAGCAGAGAAAAAAAAATTAGCTTTTTAAAAAAATCATTCCCCTAAGCAAACATTGAAAGGATTTCAGAAACCAAACAGAAAATTAGGTATTTTGGTTTATTTTCTTATTGTCTGTCTTCCAGGTCATTAATACTCTCTTTAGCTTTGACCAATTTGCCTTTTAATCCATTCCGCACACTTTAAAAATTTTCTATTAGTTTTTTTTAATTTTAGAAGTTATATTTAATTATTAAGAAAACCTACCTAGTTTTTTACTTTTTTTTGGTACTAGGAATTGAACCCCAAGGGTCCTTAATCACAGAGCCACCTTCCCAGCCACTTTTTATATTTTATTTAGAGACAGGGTCTTGCTAAATTGCTTAGGGCCTCAAAGGTGGCTTTGAACTTGGGATCCTCCTGCCTCAGCCTCTGGATCTGCTGGGATCACAGGTATGCRTCAATCAGTGTGACAATATCTTATTCCTTCTCATAGTCCTACTTCCTTCTTTTAGTTCTTAAATAATTTTAAAATTATTTTCTAGTTTTGAGCTGAGATTTTAATTAAATGAAGTTATTAGGAGGGGTGTTTTACTGTTTTGGCTCTATTGATTTCTCAGTTACGGTGGATCATTCCCCCCCATGTTGAAATATCCATGATTGTGCATCATTTTTTACTGTGGCAGATGGTATGCCTCTGCGATCCAAACATTTGAGGCTCAAAGTCATCAACCCTTAGGTGTCTTGTAGGGTTCAGTGGAAGAGAGCCACACTTGATTCCTATTTTCTCACGCTTGGGCAGAGTGCAGTTTTACCCTTGAAGTCTAATCTGTAGACTTCTGGGGGTCCTGGTCCTAGGAAGGTCTCACATATAACAACTCATCCTCTGCCCAAGCTCTGTTCCCACATAGTCATCTATACTTGCTTCTGGCTGATGACCCATCCTCCTTGACCCTGCCCCTGCCCTTCTGGTACTGGATAGTTTTCTTACTTTATTGAACACTTTACCATTGAGCTACATCCTCAGCYGCTGCCCCCCTCTCTTTGAGATAGGTTCTTACTAAATTGCCCAGGCTGACCTTGATCCTTCTGCCTCAGCCTCCTGAGTCCCTGGGATTACAGACGTGTAGTGTAACACCCATCTGGCTTTGGAACCCATCTAAATGTTTTAAGTTTTTATTAATATTATTATAATGTAAACACATTTCTAGATTTTTAAAATTTGTTGCTAGATGTTTTTACAGGAGGCTTTTCAGTTGACATAGTTCTCCATATTTTGTCAGAAGAAGTTACTAAATTTACTTTTATCATATGATCCTTTCCTCTAAGCCTCACAGAATAACATAACGTCCATGTAATACTAGGTTATGAAAAGAAACACGCCTAAAGCCATTTTATACCCTCTCCCCCAGCTCCTTTCCATTTTAGGCTTACCCATTTGTACTGTGCCTGCTATCTAAAATGTGTTTGTAAAAGTATAGATGCAACTCCTAAAGGATTAAAGACAAGATAACTCAGAAGCAACTTGGCTTCTAGAGTCAGAGAAATTCTTTGTGTTGGTTTATCTTGGAATCAGAGAGCCATTTTCATAGCGGAAAAGTGTCCAAAGGACAAGTGAAAAAAAAAAAAAGTTTTCTGTAAATGGTTGTGAAATAATAAAAACTCACACCAAATGCCGAAATGATTATTTGCATTCACACCTCCATTCCCGCTGAGTTACGTCTCTCCCCCGCCCCCTCATCCCTAGCGCTAACAATTCAAGTTACAACAGCGAATCCTCAGGGGGACTGTCAAGCCCGGTTTCTCGCTTCTTTCCCCTCTGACCCTCCTCCTATTAATCTGACTGCAGTGTAAACTTTGTGGCTTAATATTGCGCAACTTCCACGTCCCCCTCGCCCTCCCATCCAGCCCCCTCCCCCAAATCCAGGGGAACTCCGGTGCGGTGCGGTGCCACCGGCATTACTCATCCCCATTCAGGCTTCGCCGGGTTTATTAAGCTCTGGCTCAGCCTCTCCCTCTCACTCCCCGCTCTCCCTCACCGGAGCCCCTGCCTGCTCCCCTCCCGCCAGCCAGGGAAGAACTGGTCTCCTCCCGCAATGCWTCTCCCTGTGGTTCTGCTTTGCGCCGTCTGCGCTGCAGCGTTGGCCGAGAACTCGGATGATTATGATCTCATGTATGTGAACATGGACAACGAAATATTCAACGGACTCCATCCCACTGAGGACCGTAAGTTCCTTTCAACTTTCTTTGGTCTAAATAAGGTACATGTACTTTGTAGCTAAGGGAACAAGCTAAAGATGATTGTTTGCTTTTGCAAAAGGGAGAGATACTTGAGGAAGGCGGGAGGTTTCGAAAGTTTTTTCTGCAGCAGATACATCGTGAGTTGGACATTTGGCTAACTCTAGCTGCAAAAACGGCAATTTCCTAGAGTTCAACCTAAACTCTCTGGGACTAGTTTCCTTCATTTTTGAGATATTTACGTGCTGTTTTACGGCCCTTAAAAGGAAGCGGGGTGCTGGGTGGGACCAGGATGTGCCCGGGGACCACCTAGGGAGGTCGGCTTTCGCCGAGCACTCCCAACGGAGACCTGGCGGTAACCTGTGTATCCCGCTCTAGCCACGCCGTGCGACTGCAGCCGGGAGCATTCGGAGTGGGACAAGCTGTTCATCATGCTGGAGAACTCGCAGATGCGCGAGGGCATGCTGCTGCAGGCCACCGACGACTTGCTGCGCGGCGAGCTGCAGAGGCTGCGCACGGAGCTGAGCCGGCTGGCAGGAGGCCTGGCGCGGCCGTGTCCCGCGGAGGCCCGGTTGGAGGGCGCGCTGGATGAGCTGCTACGGGCGAGCCGCGATGCGGGCCGCAGGCTGGCGCGCCTGGAGGGCGCAGAGGCGCCKGGCGCGCTGCTGGAGGAGCTGCGGCGGACGCAGGCCGAGCTGCGCGCCCTGCAGGGTTGGGCGGCCGGGCGCTGGCTGCCGGCAGGTAAGCATGGCGCGGGTAAGAACGCGGCTCCTCTGCAGCAGAAACGCCACGGAGCTCTGCTGCWGCAAGCCGGGCCACGGGCACAGAGCGGCACGCGAGGCGGAGCTTGCCCTTAGAATCATCCCCAGCCTGGGCAGCCCAGAGGAAGGCTGGGGCTTGGCCATCAGTCAAAGGCCGCTGACACCCTATCCCGCCAGGCGCGGCAGGGGCTCCCTTGGCCGGTTGTGACCGTGACCCGCGCGACTCAGCTTCCCTCCGTTAGGGATTTCCACGTCTTCTAATTTTGTCCTGCTCAGCTCTCTGCTGGAGCTCTGGTTTCCCGCGCTATTTCAGGGGTCCCGCCGGCTCCTCCTCCGGGCCTATTCCCAGCCGGAGACTTGGCAGAATATGATCTCCCAAAGGTTCAGCAGTTCCCTAGGGCTCCTCCTCCCCCGCCAGCGCTCAGGGTCTGTGGAATTGGTTGGACGGTGGAAGAAGGAGGGCGTGGGAGACCTGCCAGAGTTAGGTGCAGGCGGTCCTGCCTGACCCAAAGGATCAGGGCCGCGAAGAAAGACAGTCCCTACTAGGTGCAGCCTGTGGGAACAGACCCCGTGACATCCATGAACCTCCCAACAGAGAGACAATGCGTTTTGAAGTTGGTCAAAGAAAGAGGAAAAAAAAAGACTTGGAGCTAAGTAACACTCTTTCTTAGTCAAAATTTCTAAGAAATGGTGATGTAGTAATCATTTGGGGTTGTTTCAGAAAATTCRTGTCATGTCAGAAAAATATCAAATTTTTTATGAGACTCTCCAGAAACAAAAACAATCAAACAATGCCATCCTTCCCATCATTTCCAATAAAACAACTTCTACCAGAAAAGGCAAGGAGTCATAGCATGTGTGAGAGCGTGGTTCCTTTAAACTCTTGGAAACCATGCCATAATGTGGATCTTTGCCAAGTAACAGAGAACTGTTTAGCAGTACAGGGCAWATTTTCTTAAATATTAAATAGGGCTTCAGAGGAGACAAAACATAGAGTTGAATATAAAATACAGCCTTCATGTGAGAGGAGACAAATGATAATTTCTCTATGTTAATGCATGAAATTTCTGTGCTTTGCAAACCACTTAAAGCCAGTGTACACAAAATGTACCCAAAAAACAGAWGAGTTGCCTAATTTTCTTTTTCACTTTTGCATATTAGTTACAGCAGAAGAGGGATATATTTATGAATTCTAAATGTCAATTCTTACTACATTCAATAATACTTTTACCCAAAAGCTTTAATTTGTCCTCTGGTCTCCTGCCAGTTCAGATCCTAAGGGATTCCTAATCTTTCTGTTGTCAGCTTTCTAAGAAGCTGGTTTTAATTTTGTTTGGTCTTTGTTAATATAATTAGGAAAACATCTTAGTTAAAAGCCATTTCATGAGAGAGTTTCTGACATTTTAAAGAGGCATAAAGAACCTCAGTCACTGGCCCCTAAAGGAAGCCCCCCCCCCCCCAAAAAAAAAAAAAGCCAACACATAGCTCCACTCTATGAAGGCATATAGCAGCGCAGCCTAGAGAGAAGCAGGGTCTCCCAGACACAGCCAGGAATGCTCTGGAATGGGATCCTGACCTCCTGGGCTTATTTAAACAGGAAGTCAGTTAATTAGATTGCAGTAGGCACTCTCTTGAACACCACTTGACTAAAATTTAACAGACCAGAATATCTCMCATGCCCTAGAATAGGGTAATCTTTTGTTCTATGAACTTTATTTTTTAATTAATGCCTGCATCTAGAAAAAATTCAGACTTAGTAATTTCATTTTAAAAATTAATTTTTAAAACCTTGGCATTAACTTTTTCAGGGAACAGATTGCATTTTCCAGAGTACCAGAATCAGTTTTGTGCATTAATATTGTAGTTACTTTTATATGATTTCCTGAACTTCAAGCTTTCTTTTGACAATCACAAAAAGTTTAAGTCCACATGTGCTTAATCTTTTCAGGACAAAGCCAGCTCACAGCCATTTGTAGGAGCTGAACACAGTTTACAACCCCTTGCCATGGGTGTTTGGTTCCTGAAAGTTCTTCCTAYTCACCAGTTAGTGTTGAAATGTTCTGGGAGTCTACTTTCAAAACCATCTTAGAGCACACCTTTAGCTTGTTATAAAGTGAATGTCTGGCTCTAATTTAGTTTTTTAAAAATTCTTTGTCACACAGAGAGCCCACCTGTTAAAGTTTCAATATCATAATTTCCAAAAGACCCTGGAAGGTCTTCYCTGTAGCATCCCTAGCTCCCGGATGCTCCTGTGGCCTTGAGAAGGACAGAGGTGGGAGTTCATGAACTCTCACCCCAAGTTTGAAAGTCCTCTCCTCAGAAGTCTTCCTTAGCAGAAATATGTTCTCAAACCAGGACCCTTGGAAGAATTAATTCCTCTTAAGCTTTTCTATTACCACTCAACTAATATTTATAAGGATGTGAACAAAGTAGGAATTTGTAAGTATGTCCTTGGACTACCCAGTTCTTCTTGAGTGCTGTCTACTTGTGGCTTACAGACTTGGGAAATAGAGAGGCTTTTTATAGATAACAGTGAGGCCTGGGGAGATGATGGGACTCATCAAAAGCTGCATAGTACTCATGAGCAGCAAAATAAATTGAATTCCAGCTTCCTAGTCCAAACCAAAGATTTTATTATTTGGAAGCAGTATGTTTAAGGTGTGGCTTCTCTAACCAGACTGCCTAAGTTAAAATTCCAGTTTTAAAACRTATCAGCTATGGAAGCACAGACAAGTTCTTTTTGTCTCCTTTTCTCATCTGTAAAATGGGAATAAAAAGTCTATTTTTTAGGGTTGGTGTGAGGAAGGATTAAAATAACATACCAATGGATTAGCACAGTATCTGGCACCCAGAATGAATACTGATTAGTCATCATTATTATACATTGTTGCCTTTCAAAGATTAGTTTTCTGAAAACTTTTAAAAGTTCACAACTTCAAACATCTGAGAACATGTGGTATATTGAAATGTATTCTCCAATAACATCATTGTGCTACAATTTTGTTGGAAAAGACGTGGAGAACAGCCACGTATAATGAGGCAGATTCACTGGGTTTCACGAGTTTATTATTTTAGGAGGCTAGAGAAGTCAAGAATAGGAAAGTCAGTTGAGCTCTGAACCCCTGGGAATTATAGGCGCATTGTCTGAACTTGGCTCATGGTGATTTAACAGTAAAAAAAAAAAAAAAAAAAAAAAATTAAGTGGGAGGGGAGATCGATATTACTGGATCGATATTACTGGGTTTGGACTGGGTGGCCTATCCGGTGTTCACTTCTCTATCCAGATGCTTCATTGAGTAAGACAGATGACTTTCTTTTCATTTTCTTTTCTCTACAGCGATTAGACTGGAGGCCCCTTAAGTGATAATGTAACCCTGCATATAGTTGTCAATTATAGTTATTAACGTGCCTGTGTTAAAATAACTAAATGCAGCCTAGTTCTGAGGTTTGTTTTTTTTCCTATTCCTAACTTCTTGCTGCTCTAGGCTGTGAAAYGGCGCTTTTATTCCCCATGCGTTCCAAGAAGATCTTTGGAAGCGTGCACCCCGTGAGACCCATGACGCTCGAGTCCCTCAGTGTGTGCATCTGGGTCAAAGCCACAGAGGTACTGAACAAGACCGTGCTGTTCTCCTACGGCACCAAGAGGAGTCCCTACGAGATCCAACTGTACCTCAGCCCTGGGTCCACAGCGTTTGTGGTGGGCGGAGAGGMGAACACGCTGGTGGCCGACACCGCCGTCTCCCCGGGCAGGTGGACCCACCTGTGTGGCACCTGGACTTCCGCAGACGGGCGCGCGTCACTGTGGGTGGACAGCGAGCTGGTGGCAGCCGCGGCGGGGAAGGCCAGGGGCCACGTGGTCCCCGAGGGCGGCGTGATGCAGCTGGGCCAGGAGAAGAACGGCTGCTGTGCCGGCGGCTTCGACGAGGCCCGGGCCTTGGCGGGCAGAGTGACGGCCTTGAACGTGTGGGACCGCGCGCTGCGCCCGGAGGAGGTGGCCCAGGCCGCGGGTCCCGAGTCCTGCAGCCGCCGGGGCAACGTGGTCGGGTGGGGCGTCACCGAGGTCCAGCCGCATGGAGGGGCGCAGTACGTCTCCTAGGCCTGGCGCAGGCGCTGGAGCCAAGGTCATCCTGGCTGACACGCCGCCAGCCTCCAGAAGGCTCCGAAGCTTGGTGCACAACGAGAACACTTGAGACCCACGACTGCCAGAGTCATTTTGGGCCYGTATTTACCTTGGCACAATCCAGAGTAAACAGCGGAAGGGAGRCACTGGAGAAGGCTTCGGGGTACTGTTACCAGACTCGGTGCCGCGCGGTTTCAGATWAATGCGGTGTCGCTGTCAGATAAACTCCAAATAATTGAAAAGAACTGTGTATGCTGAACAGAGGGACGACTGTTCTGCTTTGCTTTGGTTAATTTATTTTTGGCCAGAGACGAATTTTGCATTGGAAGAGTTACAAAACAGGATTTGTTGTCCACTGYTCATTCTTCTTGGTATGTACTTTTGCTACAGAAAATTACGATAAAAACGTATTTATACCACAAAGTGACTTAACGAATACGAATGTAGTTTATGTGTTATGGTCAAACATCCCTTTTTCAAGAGGATAGATGTGTAACTTATATTGTAAAATGGTTTGTATTAATTTTATTTTTGTAAAGCTCTGCTGTAAATAAAATGTTTTGTAAAACTAGCTTCTGGCATCTGATTCTAAGTGTGAGGCAGGCTTTGAAGAACCTCACTTTTCCCTTTTCATCTAAAGTAGGCAATTAGTTTTCAGAGACTAACTGATTATGTAAATAGCAATTATTAATTAATTTGGGTTTCCCCTAAATCCTAAGTAAGAGACAGGATCTTGGCTAAGTCAAGGTCCTCATCTTGCTGGAGGTTAGTTTTCTCCCCTGAGAAGTCAAGGAATTGAGGAAACATGATCTCAAGTTCTCTTCCAATTTGATGAATCCATGAGCATATACAATTTTCCCACTGTTTAAACACAAAACAAACATGCATTATCTGAGTTCCCCAGAGACAGCGTGGTACCTGCAAGCTGTGGTCACTGGGGAGAACTAGAAATCTGGGAACCAAGCAATAACTCCAGCACCCAAGGGAGAGGTTGGCGGAACCTGGTCCCGTCCAGGGGCACTGGTATCTTCCTGTGGACCCATGYAGGGACTGGTGTTAAAAAGCTGCTCATAAAGTAGGTGAACCACAGGCCTGAAGTGTCCTTCTAAAGATGGGGCTGGAACAGATGCAGATCATTTCCTGCATGTAGATTTGCAAATAAGGCCAGAGGTAATTTTATAACTAGCTGAGTGTCCTCTGACAAGTTACCTATCTCTCTTGGACCTTCTCAGGAAAGGGGGCTGGGGTTGGACTCTTTGTGCCTTTAGGCAATGAAACTCCCTCAAATCTAATTATTTTTGAGGATGTTCATGATATCATTACAGTTTCATTTCGCTCTTGAGACTCACAAAACCAAGCTGATGAGTCTCTAAGAAAATTACTTGCAGTTATGAGCTGAGAGGCCAGTCTCAGACCCTGGGAAATCACATCATTGACATAGGCCCCGCCACTTGAGGCCCTGTCTTGCTATTGTCTGTATGACCTGAGCTCTCAGCCRGGAGAATCAAACCCACCCAGACTCAGGCAGAGTTGGGCTCCACTGCAACTCCCTTACACATTTCCTCCTGGATTAGACAGACCTGTTTGTTAAGAGACCCTAGTTGATGTGGACCAGACAAATGTGCACTCGTAGGCTAACAAAAGTAAAAGCAAGGGCCTTTTAATTTATTATAGTAACTGTATGTTTGGGGCAAAGAAGAAAATAAAGTAATCCTTGAGTCATAAAAACAGAAACTGCTAAAGCATCGAGTCTGGAAATACGCGCCCAGGACTTCTCATTGTTCTCTGATACCCAATTTACCTCTTTTCCTAAGTAATAGAATTCTAGTTTTAGTGGCACATATGGCCACTAAAGTCAAGTCAACATTTTCCAGCATTACCTGTAGCTGGATATGGTTCCATGTCTAAGTTCTGACTATTTTTGAAATGCTACATATGATTTCCTTCTTCTTTCTTCTGTCTGATTGGAATGTAGTAATGATGGCTGGAATTTCAGTAACCATTTCCGACCACGAGCCTTCATAGAACAATACAGAAGCCTGGGTTTCTCATGATCATGAAGCCAGCTAGCCTGTCCTGGGCTATCTGCCCCTGACTTATTTACATAAGAGAAAAACACACTTTTATCTTCTTAATCCATTTAGTATATTACCAGATCTAATCCTGATCAGTAACTTTTTAAATTAAAAAAGACCATGCATCTTAATCTCTCTGTAATATCCATAGCCTACACTCAAAAGATACATTGTAATTTTCAGGAAGTTGGATACAGGACTTTTATTTTCTTAACTACTAGCACTAAATGAATTTAGAATTCAGAGGTATCAGCAAAAGGAAGAAGTAAAGAATTTTGTAAACCTGAGAAAAAATATCTAAAAAGAAATATCAGCTCACTAGCTTAGTTTATACACTGGCACACGATTTCATTCCTGGTTAGTTACTGGAGCCATCGCCCTATCATAGCATAGTAAAATAATTCTTCAGGACCAGACTATTAGGAAGAAAAAAAATGTGTAGCAGGTAATACATCATACATGTAAAGCATCACTTGTGTGGWGTAGGGGGACCAACTGTCCTGGTATTCCTGTGGCAGTTCCAGCTTTATCAAAGTCCCCATGTCCCATGAATCTCTGAGTCCCTGGGAAACTGGGATACCAGTCACTAGCACATATGTAGGTGTGTCTAGTGAAACAACTCTTTTTTTTTTTTTTAAAGAGAGAGAGTGAGAGAGAGAGAGAGAGAGTGAGAGAGAGAGTGAGAGAGAGAGAGAGAATTTTAATATTTATTTATTTTTAGTTATCGGCGGACACGACATCTTTGTTTGTATGTGGTGCTGAGGATGGAACCCAGGCCGCACGCATGCCAGGCGAGCGCACTACCACTTGAGCCACATCCYCAGCCCCGTGAAACAACTCTTTAACAGAGATAATATGTGAATAAAACAGTTGATGTGTGTTCTTYGTCTATACATTGGCTTTTAAGTATTAATTCTTCTGAGATATGTTCAGGAYACTAGACAACTAAGCATATATCATACAATTTTAGAGCTTGCTATTTATAACTTGCCCTTAATTGACTTGAATTCAATAAAGAATTAGAATTATAAAAATAAATTATAATTGATTTCTATTTCATTTCTTGTGAAATCTAACATTAGTAGCTCATCTTTTGAGAAGGTTAMTAAGGCCAATGTTCCTAGAATTTGTTTTGTAGATGATTCTCAGAACATTCTTTCATCTTCTCTTTCAGTGCTCAAAGAAAGAACACTCCTAAAGTTAAGTCTTAGTTACTTTAAATATGTATGTCCATGTATTTCTGGATTCCATGAACATGGAAATTCATATGACTGACTTTTGCATTCAGTTTGATCAATCTGGAGTGTAGAAAAAAAACATGGTAGCTTTTGGGTCAGAAATCCAACATCCAAACCTGGCACCATTACCTATTAACTTATTAAATACAAGACATAGGGCATGTTGATGAATCTTTTTGAGTCTCAAGTTGGTCAAGAAATTAGAGATAACAAAACTTGCCTACCATGATGAAGAGTTTTCAAGGATATATTGTACAAAAAGGGATCCCTTGAACTGCCATGTTTTGTCCAGCTCCACCATGTGGACTAAACCTATCAAGGGATCTGCTTTTGAAAATRTCTTTCTGACTACTTGTTTTTTGTTCTTCACTAATTATTCTAGACTTTAACTTCTTAGGTGGCTTACACCCTCYTGGTCAGGAAGAACACCCGAGACGCTGGCCATCTCCCCATATCTCTCCTCTCTGAAAGATGAAATAATATTTGAAATGAAATCTATATCTTAAAAATGTTTTTTTTCTTTTTAAAAATTAGTGCTTTGTAGATATACATGAAGGTGAAATTCATTGTGGTGTATTCATTTATGCTATGCACATAAATGAATACACCACAGTATATTCTCCTCTCTTTGAAACTGTGAACTAAAACCAAGTTTCCCTCCTTGAAGTTGTTTTTATCAGGTCTTTTGGTCACATAAAAACTTACTAAAGTAGAAACTGGTACCAGGAGTACAGCTGTTGCTGTGACTAACCTGACCAAGTGGTTCAGAAGCTGGGGCAGGAATTTTGAAAAGGTTAAATATGCAAGCTGGAAAAGCTATAGAGTGTTGTACATTTTGCTTAACTGGTGATTCAGATGGGAGCTTATAATACCAGAATGCCGACAAGACTGTGGACAGTAGACTGGGATCACCAGGTTTCAGAGGAGAAGCAGCACACTATTGGAAACTGGACAAGAGGCAATTCATGTTACATTCTGGCAATGTTCTCCACATTATGCCCATGTCTGRAGACATTCTGTAAGCTGAATTTAAAGACAATGGCCTAATTAATCTGGTTGGAGGAAATTTCTAGACAGCACAGCATTAAGGGTGTGGCATTATTATTGCTCATGGTTTTCAGCCAAGTTTACCATAATAATCAGAAGCAGAAAGCAGAACGATTCTAAAAACTTGCAATTTTTCTAGAAAAGTGTGAGTGCAGCTGGGGCTAAGATAGTTGTGGTTGTTAAAGGGAGTATATCCACTAAAGAGATGCTAAGTACTTTACTCAGAAACAACAGGAAAGATGGCTTAAGAGCATCTCAGGAGTTGGCAAGATGGCACCTATCTCAGTTAAAGGTTGTAAAAGTAAAAATTTCTTTGAGAAGAGACTCTGCTTGCACAGGGAGACCCTTGGAAGTTGTTTCACCACACTTAGCCACCCAGGCACCCAGAGGCCACTCCAGCCATGGTCCCAGGAGGCTGGACTATTTCTTGAGAGGGTAGCAGAGCTTGGRATTAACTGTGTAGTGTTGGTTCTGCAGAAATGCAGGTGGCTAGACTTAGGGGGTCATGGAGGCTTCCAGTGAGATTTCAAAAGAAGGCCTGGGAACCCAGGCAGGGGGCATCAGGGTTTGAATCCTTGCAGGCAGCCCCTGAAAGGGTGATGCATGAAGATATGAGAAGGAAGCCAAAGCTGCAGTGAAGACCYTCAAGTTTAAGAGATGCCAGAAATGTCTGCCTAGAAAAGCTACAGGAATTAAACAGAGACAAGTGGATTCCTGCAGTTTCCCATTAGATGCTCTTCCACATTAGATGTTCTCTTTAAGCTTCTATCAACATACATGGGACATAATAAACGGGAAGTCAATTTGCTGTCTCCATTTTCCTAAAGCAACTCACCAATCAGTGGTTTGGATTTTGTTTCATACAGAAAGCAGAGCGGCCATGGGGGCTATAACCAGCAAGGTCATGGRGCAGAGCTGCACAAGCCCTTTGAAGAAAATATCATAATGCCATGTGCCCCAGATGCTGGACATGGAGCTACAGGACTCATTTGCCCAGCTGGATTTTGGTCTTACTCGGTTCCTATCACTTCTTTCTATGCCCCTCTGTTCCCCTCTGTGCCGTTTACTCTGTGCCATTATATATTGGACATGCAATTTTGTTTTGATCTTCATGGCAATTCAGAGCTAAGAGTTTACCTTGAG